ATACAAATCATAAGCAAATGTAAAGAAAAAATTAATATAAGTAAGCCTCTATTTTTCTTTAAAAAAAAAAAAAAAGGCCTGCCAGATGCTATGACCGGAAACAGAAAAGCTTCTGCACAGCAAAGCCATCTATCAGCCGTGAAGGGACAGAAGACAGAATGAGAGAAAACACTGGACAACTCTGAATCACAGTATTAATGCTTATAAGATGTGGCGATTTATTGTGTACCCTAATAAACTTGCTTGAGGATCAGAGGACGGAGCCAGCCACTAGGTTACACCTACAGGTCAGGCAGTGGTGGCACACCCCTTTAATCCCAGCATTTGAGATCTCATGCCTTTGCTTGGGAAACACACAGGCCTTTAATCCCAGGAAGTAATATGGCAAGGCAGAGAAATGTATATTTTATGCTTGAAGAAACAGGAACTCATTCTCTTGAGGTTGAGGATTTCATAGAGGTAAGAACTAGTGGCTGGCTGTTCTGCTTCTCTGATCTTTCAGCTTTTACCCTAATATCCAGCTTTGGTTTTTTTTTTTATTATTAAAAGACCATCTAAGATTTGAACAACAATAAAAAAATGTATTTTAAAAAAATGCAAAAGTTAAACACAAAGCTCCCAAATCATTCAGTTGATAAATGGGTTAATGAAAAGAAGAGGGAGTTCTCAAAGAAAGAAACACAAATAATGGTCAATAAACACTTGAAAAAAATGTTCAACATCCTTGGCCATCAGTGAGCTGCCAAGAGCGAGGCAGCACAGTGCCCTTTGCCCTCGTTTCACACTTCCTAAGAGGACGGCTGGCAGACAGAAGACGTGCAATAGCATTTACTGATCACTATATAATCAATACTGTGTTTTCACATAGTCTTTGACTCCACTGCGTCCTCCCCAGTGCTCCCACTGCAGCAGCATGACGTCTCTGGCCTGCTTTCCTTGGGTGAGAAATGCCACCTCCATGCACATGTTCCAGGTCCATTACTGAGCACACACATCCGTGGAGGAACTCATAGCAAGACTCCCGGAGAACTTTATTCACCCTAATGTTTGTTCTGCAGGCTCGTGGCTAGAGCTTCACCTTCTGTTTTCCTTATACCAGTGCAACGTACATCTCCAAAGGGGAAAGCGCATTTATTTGGTCTCCTCTGTTGTGTTCTTGGTGGGAATCTCTTAGCTGGATTCAAGTTTTTGGCGTAGGACTTTGAACAGAGAGTAGGGAGACAAGGAAGGAAGAAGGCCGGGGTTGGTGGGTATCAAGGGCCCCAGAGAGCATAAGGGGCACCATGGGGCTGCTAACAGCAAAAGAGCACTTCATACTCACTATGTGCAAGCCCTGTGTTTGTGCCTTATGCGCCAGTACGGTTGGACTTCTTTTCTTTCTTTCTTTCTTTTTTTTTTTTTTCTTCGGCTTTTTCGAGACAGGGTTTCTCTGTGTAGCTTTGTGCCTTTCCTGGAACTCATTTTGGAGACCAGGCTGGCCTTGAACTCACAGAGATCCGCCTGCCTCTGCCTCCCGAGTGCTGGGATTAAAGGCGTGTGCCACCATCACCCGG